TGCCGCGGTGTCAGCAGTGGCAAAGACCAAGTCGTCGACGTACACGAGGATGTAGAACGGCGGCAGCGAGGTGTCGGTGCGTAGAAACAGCGACGGGTCAGCAGTAGAGGGAGCGAACCCAAGAGCCGCAAGTGTCGTCCTCAGTGTGTCGTGCCACTCACGTGGCGCCTGGCGGAGACCGTAGACCGGCCGCTGAAGCCTCCACTGGGTGCCAGGAGGAAATGACCCAGTGAAGCCAGGGGGGCGGCGCAGCCAGATCTCCTCGTGCAGGCTGCCCTGCAAGAAAGCAGTGCTGAAGTCAAGGGAGTGAAGCTCGTAGTCGCGGTGAGCGGCTATGTGCACAGGTCAGTGTGTACAGGTCAGACCCCGGCTCTCGAGTGAAAGTAGCCAGGTGGCGGCCCGTCCGAGCACACGTGCAGTGAGTCACACGCTCGTAGGCAGGGGTGAACTGGTGAACACCCGAGTCCTGGAGCGCACTACCTGCCACCAAGTTCGTGGAGAACGAGGGGAGGTAGAGACCTGAGAGTGTGCCGGACGGAACCGCTGGACACGGAAGGGTGGTGGAGGAGGTCGCAAGGACCGGACCCCCAGAGGGGTCAGCAAGAGAGACAGCAACCGGCCGAGCTAGAGGCTCAAGGACAGTGCGGTCACGAAAGAAAGAGCGAGAAGCACCTGAGTCCAGTGTGAAGGTGTGCAGTGCTGCAGTCGACTCAGTACCAGGGGGCACAGACGCACAAGCACCTAGAGCAGCAGCTGCAGTAGTACCTGTGGAAGCAGACACACTAGTACCTAGAGCAGCAGCGGGGCTGGCCTGAATGCCCGGGTCGGGCGGAACACGCAAGTACTGAGCACCCTCTCCACTAATAGACATCGCATACATGGCAGTGAGAATAGCATCAAAGTCAAGTGCCCAAATATCAACACCCTTCCTGAGCAGATCAGCCCAGCGCGGCAGCTCACCCCCACCAGGAAACTGGGTGCGCCACGCATCGTTGAGGCGGGCGAAGCAGCGCTCCGTCTGGTGCGGCCCCCCACACGTCTGGCCAGTGCGGTCACCTGTACGAATAACGTACTGGCAGGTGACGCTGCGCCGCGCATACCACTCACGGGCGGCCTGAAGGGTCGGGGAAGGCTGCTGACTCTGACCGCCCCCCGGGCCTCCACGACCACCACCCCCTCCGCCTCCGCCCCGGCCACCTCCACCCCTGCCGCTGCCACGACCACCTCCGCCTCCGCTGCCACCTCCGCCCCTGTCACCACTCCCAACACCGCTGTCACCTCCACCACCGCCGCCACTAGCCTCTCCAGTCGCACCTCCACCGCCACCACCTCCACCCCCGCCTCCTCCGCCACCACCCCCACTCCTGCCACTCCTGCCCCTGCGTCGTCCGCCTGAAGCAGACGCAGCCCCGACCTTCTCAGCACCAAGGAGGTCGACAGCAGCAGCAGAGGCGACAGAGGGGAGGAGGGGGGAAGGGGAGCACCCCTCGAAGAAGGGGCCGCGGGGGTCGCCACGAGAGGTGCCTACAGCGACGATACTAGCCTCGGCTGCAAGCAGTTCCTTCTCGAGGAGGGCTATGGTGAGCTCAGTGGGGGAGCGAGAGAGGAACTGGTCCCTGACAGGGCGCAGAGAGTCAGGGAGGCGGGTGACAACGTGGTAGAGAGTGATCCAGAGCGGGGGGGGGTTGCTAGCGAGGAACTCATCAGGCATGGCAGCGCGAAAGCGAGCCTCACTAGTCTTAAGGTGGGTGATGAGGTCTGCGACTGTGTGAAAGGAGGCTAGGTCGGGGAACAGGTAGGGGAGAGTGAGGCGGCCTAGTGTGGCAGAAGCGGGTGAGGAGTAGCGGGCCACTACAGCTGTGTAGAGGTCCTTAGCAGTCTTGCACTGGCCGAAGTGCTCGCGCTCATCTAGCGGCAGGGAGTTGCGAATAGCAAAGCGAGCGTGCGCGTCACGGGTCTGCCACTGTGAGCGCTCAGCTGGGGGGGCAGTAGCGAGTGGGGCGGTCGCATGGCCGAGAGCGTGGTCGTACAGTGTAATATCTTCCTTGGCAGTGAGCTGTAGGAAAAGGTGCAGGTCATCTAGCCAGGTTTCGAATTTGACCGGACGGCCCTCGGCGTCGAAAGCTAGAACAGGAGGACTAGCCATAGCGACAGCGGCAGTAGTAGAAGCAGTAAAGTCACTGAAAAGGCGTGCGCAGGGTCAGCGGGGCCGGTGGGGCCTACGGACTGTAGTGGCGCACAAGCAGTAGGTGCAGAAAGTGTAGTAGTAGGGGCGGGCTCAGCAGCGGTGATTCGCGGGCGACGGCGGGCGCAGCAGCGGCGGTGCGCGGGCGGCGGCGGGCTCAGCAGCGGTGGTGCGCGGGCGGCAGCGGGCGCAGCAGCGGCGGTGCGCGGGCGGCGGCGGGCTCAGCAGAGGCGGTGCGCGGGCGGCTGCGGACTCAACAGCGGTGGTGCGCGGGGGGCAGCGGGCGCAGCAGCGGCGGTGCGCGGGCGGCTGCGGGCTCAGCAGAGGCGGTGCGCGGGCGGCTGCGGGCTCGGCAGCGGCGGGCCGGGAGCAGTGCGGGCAGCGTGCGGGCCGGCGGCGGTCAGCGCACGAGCCGCGCAGGCTCAGCGCGGGCTGCGCGGGCTGCTCGCGGGCTGCGTAAGCGGGTCGCGGGCGGCTCGCGGGGGTTCGCGGGCAGGTCGCGGGCTGCTCGCGGGCAGTTCGCGGGCTGTGCGCGGGCTGCGCGGGCTGGTCGCGGGCTGCGCGTGGGCGGTTCGCGGGCTGTGAGCGCGGCGCGCTGTGCGGTTCGCGGGCGGCGTGACGGGGCCGATCGGGGCGCTAAGGGGCGACGCGACGGGGGCCGTGAGAGGCCGCTAAAAAAAAAAAAATTCGAAGGGGCCGCAGGGCCGCTAGATCGTGCTAGATCGACGGGGCCATCGGGGCCGAAAAGAAGCGAAGGTAAGCAGGTAGGTAAGTCGGTGGGCCCTAAGAACAGTCCTAGCGAAGGACCTGCTCTGAAACCATGTCAGAAATAACTGAGCAGGAATGAATGAACTAGAACAGAGTTTGGTACAAGTAGGAAACCCTAACTTTGTGTACCCCCTAAGGTGTAACCCACTACAGCCTAGACAATATAAACATGCAATGTTTGACAGAATCGTCACCAAGTCCTCCGAGACGTAGTTGGCGTCGAAGAAAACGTTCATCGTGAACAACCACGCCTGAACGGTTGAACCACCCCGTTGGCTGGGATCGATGCAAGATGGATGCTGAGGCTTGAGCGGCATCGGTGACGGCAACGCTGATTCGCTGATCGGGACCGAAATTGTGACGCGGGGTTGGCTCCTGACCGCATTCGTCGCTCCGAGGTGTGTCGCGCCGTGGTCATCGTCTCCGTCGTTGCGGGCGACGCCATCACTAGCCGCGCTCGAGGGTTGCCCCACGCTTCCGTGTTGTGATGCCTGACGTGCTGCTTGTCCTTGCGTGCCTTGTGTTTGTGACTGTGCTTTTTGCGCCCGTGCGACGTCGTTTTGCAGCGACTTACGTTCTGTCGTCAGCGCCGCGATTTCTTTGGAATTTTCGTGCAGCTTCTGCAGCCGTTGGTTAAGGTGCTCTTGCGTGAGTGTCATGACGTCGATATGTTCAGCCATGTCGAAGGACAGTGGCTCAGCTTAGCTCTAGGCGCAGTCGCGGCTGCACGCGTTTACGAAAGAACACGAGGACGATTGCTTCTAGGTGCTAAGGGCGTCAGTCCCTTCAGATGCAAAAAATCAAAAGTTGATTTCTCTGGGTGAGAAGATGCGCGGTCCGAACGAAGATGGCTCTGAATGCAAAGTGTTACGGGTGCAACGGAACGAGCGAAAACAAAGTATGAGGTACAAAACATTGACAGAATACTTATGTGCGAACATGCAAACGATTACGTGGTACGTGCGAGCTAGCTATTGCTAGGCTGGCATCGAGGTTCGGGCTAGTCCCGAAGCGTAGGCCGACTCGGCCGGGCCAGCGGTGCATGGTTTGGTAAAACAGTGCGCGCGAAGTTGGCGAAGCCCTGTTAGCAGTAACGGGCGAACAACGGCTGCTGCTGTACGCGATGTTGAAGAATGGAGTAAGGAATGTCGAAATTTTCCTTACGGGTAGCGAGGGTTGCACTATGTTGTCAAACAAGAACATTGTAAGAGCAAAGGCATGAGCGAATACTGGTATGCACGAAAAAATGCAAACGGGTAACGCAGTGCGTGCAAACCAGCTATTGCGATGCTTGCAGCGAGGTTCGGGATAGTCCCGAAGCGTAGGAAAACTCAGGCCAGGCCAGCGATGTGTGGTTTGGCAAAAGCAGTGCGTGAAGGCGACGAAAGCTCTGTTAACTGTAACGGGCGAAGCGATTGTAAATCAGAATTATGACCAATTGTGTCTTTGTGTACACTTGAGCTTTCCAAAAACTTTAGGAGAACATATTTAGAAGAACGGTTGGTGTTGTACGCGATGTTGAAAAGCGTAGTAAAAATTCTCTCTATTCGCGTAAGGGCTTTGAGTGCTTCCCGCAACTATCTTGGCTTACGGCGTTTGCAACCACCATGCCAACCCCCTAACCAGCATCACACACGGCGACGAGCATGGCAGCTAGGTGAGCCAAGCGACGAGCAGTCTCAGAGAATGACAATTGAGCCTCTTTATCTATTACGAAAATTCTCGATTCAAGCGACATAGGTATGTTCCTTCACAATGCGCAAGGCTTGGTGCCGTTCCGCGTTGCGTGTGTGACTCGCAGGAGGTAGATCCGATCAGCGCGAGTGTAATCGTAGCCATCTCGCGCCGCAGCATTCCGTCGGAGTCCGTCATCGTCGGCAAGGCGAGCCTCGCGTGGGCCGCTGGACGAGCGACCGCCAGCCAGATAAGGCGCGCCGAGCTGCCAGCCGGATAAGGCGCGCCGAGCTGCCGGGTCGCGCAGCGTGGAGCGCCCGCCGTTGTCGCCCGCTTCGACACTTCCAGGCGCCACGCGAGGCGGCGAGGCGGCATGGATCGCGGCGGCGGGCCGACGCGAGTGCTGCGCGCGCAGCAGCCGCTGCAGCACTCGCTGGTGGTGACGGTCAGCGTCATCATGACGGCGTGCCTCGCGCTCATGGTGAGCCAAAGACGATACGATACGATACGATACGATCGCGGTGAGATAGAAGGAGCTTGCGTGAGTGAACGATGGTGATGCGCGCAAATGTTTATGGTGAGGCATGGCTTGAAGGAAACGGAATGGCGGGACACGAATGCTGTCGCATGTCGCATTCCATGACACGAATGCTGTCGCATGTCGCATGCCATGACACGAATGCTGTCGCATGTCGCATGCCATGACACGAATGCTGTCGCATGTCGCATGCCATGACACGAATGCTGTCGCATGTCGCATGCCATGACACGAATGCTGTCGCATGTCGCATGCCATGACACGAATGCTGTCGCATGTGGCTGTTGCTCCCAGAGTGGCCGTCATTGCGCCCCTTGACAGTGCGTGAGTGGCCGTTACTTTTCTGGCTCCCCACCCCACCCCCCCACACTCGCACCACGCGTGCATGGGCACATACGCCAATATGCTCGTACGAGTCCTGCTGCCATCGCCAGAGCTGCCATCGCCAGAGCTGCCATCGCCAGAGCTGCCATCGCCAGAGCTGCCATCGCCAGAGCTGCCGCTGCTGCGACGGGCGTGTCACCCCTCCCTCCCTCCACGCCCTCGCTCGCCTTCCTCTTCCCACCGCTTCGCTTCCGCGCTCCCATGGCCCTTCCCTCCCCCCATCGTTGACGCACTCCACCCCCTTGTCCTCCCCACCCCCCTTCCACGGCAGTACATGCTGGTGTCGCGCCACCTCGCCAGCATGGACCACATCGCCCTCGCGCTCACTGAGAGGTACCGCCCTCCACTCACTCACACCCCCTCCCTCTCGCACTCACTCTCTCTCTCACACTCACTCTCCCTCTCACACTCACACTCACACTCACAATCACTCTCTCTCACTCTCACACTTCCACGCTCCTAGACTCCTACGTTCTGACGCTCTCACAGTCTCATTCGCGCCTTCCGTTGCCCCCGGGCCGCCCACTTCCCCTGCGCGCTGCCCTCCCACGTGGCGGCGCATCGCAGCATGCGCCTGCCATGCATCGCAGCTGCTCAACGTGGCGCCACACGACTTGCCTTGCGCGTCCTCTTCCCCCTTTGCCCGTCCTCCCATGCCCCCTCTTCCCCCTTCGCCCGTCCTCCCATGCCCCCTCTTCCCCCTTTTCCCGTCCTCCCATGCCCCCTCTTCCCCCTTTTCCCTCGCGATACTCATGCCGTGCCGCCCTGCCTGCCTGCCGTGGTGGCATGGCAGCATATCGGAGCAGACGACAAACCAGGCGGTGGAGTTGAAGGCGCTGGTGGCGGCGCTGGAGAACCACACCTACTCCGTGGCCGCCGCCGTCACCGACCACGTCGCCGTGCAGACCCTGCAGCTGCGCCAGCTGGCAGCGGAGCTGCGCAACCACTCGCACTTCGTGAGGGAGCACGTGGGGCAGCACGTGGACGCGCAGCAGGCGCAGCTGGCCGAGGTGCTGGCGGAGCTGCGTGCGCGCATGGGCGAGGTGGCCTCCGCTGTCATGGCGCCCCCCGCGCCGCCCCTGGCTGACAGCGCCATCACCCCCTCCAACCTCACTCTGCTCGTTGCTGCCGGCCTAAGATCCCAGGTGGGTGCCATCCCAGGTGGGTGCCATCCCAGGTGGGTGCCATTCCAGGTGGGTGCCATCCCAGGTGGGTGCCATCCCAGGTGGGTGCCATCCCAGGTGGGTGCCATCCCAGGTGGGTGCCATCCCAGGTGGGTGCCATCCCAGGTGGGTGCCATCCCAGGTGGGTGCCATCCCAGGTGGTGGGTGCCATCCCAGGTGGGTGCCATCCCAGGTGGGTGCCATCCCAGGTGGGTGCCATCCCAGGTGGGTGCCATCCCAGGTGGGTGCCAAACCAGGTGCGCTGCGGTGGCAGGCGGGTTGAGCCCCTCAGATTCCAGGCAAGCACTACTTGTTGGATTCCAGGCAAGCACTACTTGTTGGATTCCAGGCAAGCACTACTTGTTGGATTCCAGGCAAGCACTACTTGTTGGATTCCAGGCAAGCACTACTTGTTGGATTCCAGGCAAGCACTACTTGTTGGATTCCAGGCAAGCACTACTTGTTGGATTCCAGGCAAGCACTACTTGTTGGATTCCAGGCAAGCACTACTTGTTGGATTCCAGGCAAGCACTACTTGTTGGATTCCAGGCAAGCACTACTTGTTGGATTCCAGGCAAGCACTACTTGTTGGATTCCAGGCAAGCACTACTTGTTGGATTCCAGGCAAGCACTACTTGTTGGATTCCAGGCAAGCACTACTTGTTGGATTCCAGGCAAGCACTACTTGTTGGATTCCAGGCAAGCACTACTTGTTGGATTCCAGGCAAGCACTACTTGTTGGATTCCAGGCAAGCACTACTTGTTGGATTCCAGGCAAGCACTACTTGTTGGATTCCAGGCAAGCACTACTTGTTGGATTCCAGGCAAGCACTACTTGTTGGATTCCAGGCAAGCACTACTTGTTGGATTCCAGGCAAGCACTACTTGTTGGATTCCAGGCAAGCACTACTTGTTGGATTCCAGGCAAGCACTACTTGTTGGATTCCAGGCAAGCACTACTTGTTGGATTCCAGGCAAGCACTACTTGTTGGATTCCAGGCAAGCACTACTTGTTGGATTCCAGGCAAGCACTACTTGTTGGATTCCAGGCAAGCACTACTTGTTGGATTCCAGGCAAGCACTACTTGTTGGATTCCAGGCAAGCACTACTTGTTGGATTCCAGGCAAGCACTACTTGTTGGATTCCAGGCAAGCACTACTTGTTGGATTCCAGGCAAGCACTACTTGTTGGATTCCAGGCAAGCACTACTTGTTGGATTCCAGGCAAGCACTACTTGTTGGATTCCAGGCAAGCACTACTTGTTGGATTCCAGGCAAGCACTACTTGTTGGATTCCAGGCAAGCACTACTTGTTGGATTCCAGGCAAGCACTACTTGTTGGATTCCAGGCAAGCACTACTTGTTGGATTCCAGGCAAGCACTACTTGTTGGATTCCAGGCAAGCACTACTTGTTGGATTCCAGGCAAGCACTACTTGTTGGATTCCAGGCAAGCCCTACGTGTTGGATTCCAGGCAAGCACTACTTGTTGGATTCCAGGCAAGCACTACTTGTTGGATTCCAGGCAAGCACTACTTGTTGGATTCCAGGCAAGCACTACTTGTTGGATTCCAGGCAAGCACTACTTGTTGGATTCCAGGCAAGCACTACTTGTTGGATTCCAGGCAAGCACTACTTGTTGGATTCCAGGCAAGCACTACTTGTTGGATTCCAGGCAAGCACTACTTGTTGGATTCCAGGCAAGCACTACTTGTTGGATTCCAGGCAAGCACTACTTGTTGGATTCCAGGCAAGCACTACTTGTTGGATTCCAGGCAAGCACTACTTGTTGGATTCCAGGCAAGCACTACTTGTTGGATTCCAGGCAAGCACTACTTGTTGGATTCCAGGCAAGCACTACTTGTTGGATTCCAGGCAAGCACTACTTGTTGGATTCCAGGCAAGCACTACTTGTTGGATTCCAGGCAAGCACTACTTGTTGGATTCCAGGCAAGCACTACTTGTTGGATTCCAGGCAAGCACTACTTGTTGGATTCCAGGCAAGCACTACTTGTTGGATTCCAGGCAAGCACTACTTGTTGGATTCCAGGCAAGCACTACTTGTTGGATTCCAGGCAAGCACTACTTGTTGGATTCCAGGCAAGCACTACTTGTTGGATTCCAGGCAAGCACTACTTGTTGGGTTTCAGGCAAGCACTACTTGTTGGGTTCCAGGCAAGCACTACTTGTTGGATTCCAGGCAAGCACTACTTGTTGGATTCCAGGCAAGCACTACTTGTTGGATTCCAGGCAAGCACTACTTGTTGGATTCCAGGCAAGCACTACTTGTTGGATTCCAGGCAAGCACTACTTGTTGGATTCCAGGCAAGCACTACTTGTTGGATTCCAGGCAAGCACTACTTGTTGGATTCCAGGCAAGCACTACTTGTTGGATTCCAGGCAAGCACTACTTGTTGGATTCCAGGCAAGCACTACTTGTTGGATTCCAGGCAAGCACTACTTGTTGGATTCCAGGCAAGCACTACTTGTTGGATTCCAGGCAAGCACTACTTGTTGGATTCCAGGCAAGCACTACTTGTTGGATTCCAGGCAAGCACTACTTGTTGGATTCCAGGCAAGCACTACTTGTTGGATTCCAGGCAAGCACTACTTGTTGGATTCCAGGCAAGCACTACTTGTTGGATTCCAGGCAAGCACTACTTGTTGGATTCCAGGCAAGCACTACTTGTTGGATTCCAGGCAAGCACTACTTGTTGGATTCCAGGCAAGCACTACTTGTTGGATTCCAGGCAAGCACTACTTGTTGGATTCCAGGCAAGCACTACTTGTTGGATTCCAGGCAAGCACTACTTGTTGGATTCCAGGCAAGCACTACTTGTTGGATTCCAGGCAAGCACTACTTGTTGGATTCCAGGCAAGCACTACTTGTTGGATTCCAGGCAAGCACTACTTGTTGGATTCCAGGCAAGCACTACTTGTTGGATTCCAGGCAAGCACTACTTGTTGGATTCCAGGCAAGCACTACTTGTTGGATTCCAGGCAAGCACTACTTGTTGGATTCCAGGCAAGCACTACTTGTTGGATTCCAGGCAAGCACTACTTGTTGGATTCCAGGCAAGCACTACTTGTTGGATTCCAGGCAAGCACTACTTGTTGGATTCCAGGCAAGCACTACTTGTTGGATTCCAGGCAAGCACTACTTGTTGGATTCCAGGCAAGCACTACTTGTTGGATTCCAGGCAAGCACTACTTGTTGGATTCCAGGCAAGCACTACTTGTTGGATTCCAGGCAAGCACTACTTGTTGGATTCCAGGCAAGCACTACTTGTTGGATTCCAGGCAAGCACTACTTGTTGGATTCCAGGCAAGCACTACTTGTTGGATTCCAGGCAAGCACTACTTGTTGGATTCCAGGCAAGCACTACTTGTTGGATTCCAGGCAAGCACTACTTGTTGGATTCCAGGCAAGCACTACTTGTTGGATTCCAGGCAAGCACTACTTGTTGGATTCCAGGCAAGCACTACTTGTTGGATTCCAGGCAAGCACTACTTGTTGGATTCCAGGCAAGCACTACTTGTTGGATTCCAGGCAAGCACTACTTGTTGGATTCCAGGCAAGCACTACTTGTTGGATTCCAGGCAAGCACTACTTGTTGGATTCCAGGCAAGCACTACTTGTTGGATTCCAGGCAAGCACTACTTGTTGGATTCCAGGCAAGCACTACTTGTTGGATTCCAGGCAAGCACTACTTGTTGGATTCCAGGCAAGCACTACTTGTTGGATTCCAGGCAAGCACTACTTGTTGGATTCCAGGCAAGCACTACTTGTTGGATTCCAGGCAAGCACTACTTGTTGGATTCCAGGCAAGCACTACTTGTTGGATTCCAGGCAAGCACTACTTGTTGGATTCCAGGCAAGCACTACTTGTTGGATTCCAGGCAAGCACTACTTGTTGGATTCCAGGCAAGCACTACTTGTTGGATTCCAGGCAAGCACTACTTGTTGGATTCCAGGCAAGCACTACTTGTTGGATTCCAGGCAAGCACTACTTGTTGGATTCCAGGCAAGCACTACTTGTTGGATTCCAGGCAAGCACTACTTGTTGGATTCCAGGCAAGCACTACTTGTTGGATTCCAGGCAAGCACTACTTGTTGGATTCCAGGCAAGCACTACTTATTGGGTTCCAGGCAAGCACTACTTGTTGGATTCCAGGCAAGCACTACTTGTTGGATTCCAGGCAAGCACTACTTGTTGGATTCCAGGCAAGCACTACTTGTTGGATTCCAGGCAAGCACTACTTGTTGGATTCCAGGCAAGCACTACTTGTTGGATTCCAGGCAAGCACTACTTGTTGGATTCCAGGCAAGCACTACTTGTTGGATTCCAGGCAAGCACTACTTGTTGGATTCCAGGCAAGCACTACTTGTTGGATTCCAGGCAAGCACTACTTGTTGGATTCCAGGCAAGCACTACTTGTTGGATTCCAGGCAAGCACTACTTGTTGGATTCCAGGCAAGCACTACTTGTTGGATTCCAGGCAAGCACTACTTGTTGGATTCCAGGCAAGCACTACTTGTTGGATTCCAGGCAAGCACTACTTGTTGGATTCCAGGCAAGCACTACTTGTTGGATTCCAGGCAAGCACTACTTGTTGGATTCCAGGCAAGCACTACTTGTTGGATTCCAGGCAAGCACTACTTGTTGGATTCCAGGCAAGCACTACTTGTTGGATTCCAGGCAAGCACTACTTGTTGGATTCCAGGCAAGCACTACTTGTTGGATTCCAGGCAAGCACTACTTGTTGGATTCCAGGCAAGCACTACTTGTTGGATTCCAGGCAAGCACTACTTGTTGGATTCCAGGCAAGCACTACTTGTTGGATTCCAGGCAAGCACTACTTGTTGGATTCCAGGCAAGCACTACTTGTTGGATTCCAGGCAAGCACTACTTGTTGGATTCCAGGCAAGCACTACTTGTTGGATTCCAGGCAAGCACTACTTGTTGGATTCCAGGCAAGCACTACTTGTTGGATTCCAGGCAAGCACTACTTGTTGGATTCCAGGCAAGCACTACTTGTTGGATTCCAGGCAAGCACTACTTGTTGGATTCCAGGCAAGCACTACTTGTTGGGTTCAGGCAAGCACTACTTGTTGGGTTCCAGGCAAGCACTACTTGTTGGATTCCAGGCAAGCACTACTTGTTGGATTCCAGGCAAGCACTACTTGTTGGATTCCAGGCAAGCACTACTTGTTGGATTCCAGGCAAGCACTACTTGTTGGATTCCAGGCAAGCACTACTTGTTGGATTCCAGGCAAGCACTACTTGTTGGATTCCAGGCAAGCACTACTTGTTGGATTCCAGGCAAGCACTACTTGTTGGATTCCAGGCAAGCACTACTTGTTGGATTCCAGGCAAGCACTACTTGTTGGATTCCAGGCAAGCACTACTTGTTGGATTCCAGGCAAGCACTACTTGTTGGATTCCAGGCAAGCACTACTTGTTGGATTCCAGGCAAGCACTACTTGTTGGATTCCAGGCAAGCACTACTTGTTGGATTCCAGGCAAGCACTACTTGTTGGATTCCAGGCAAGCACTACTTGTTGGATTCCAGGCAAGCACTACTTGTTGGATTCCAGGCAAGCACTACTTGTTGGATTCCAGGCAAGCACTACTTGTTGGATTCCAGGCAAGCACTACTTGTTGGATTCCAGGCAAGCACTACTTGTTGGATTCCAGGCAAGCACTACTTGTTGGATTCCAGGCAAGCACTACTTGTTGGATTCCAGGCAAGCACTACTTGTTGGATTCCAGGCAAGCACTACTTGTTGGATTCCAGGCAAGCACTACTTGTTGGATTCCAGGCAAGCACTACTTGTTGGATTCCAGGCAAGCACTACTTGTTGGATTCCAGGCAAGCACTACTTGTTGGATTCCAGGCAAGCACTACTTGTTGGATTCCAGGCAAGCACTACTTGTTGGATTCCAGGCAAGCACTACTTGTTGGATTCCAGGCAAGCACTACTTGTTGGATTCCAGGCAAGCACTACTTGTTGGATTCCAGGCAAGCACTACTTGTTGGATTCCAGGCAAGCACTACTTGTTGGATTCCAGGCAAGCACTACTTGTTGGATTCCAGGCAAGCACTACTTGTTGGATTCCAGGCAAGCACTACTTGTTGGATTCCAGGCAAGCACTACTTGTTGGATTCCAGGCAAGCACTACTTGTTGGATTCCAGGCAAGCACTACTTGTTGGATTCCAGGCAAGCACTACTTGTTGGATTCCAGGCAAGCACTACTTGTTGGATTCCAGGCAAGCACTACTTGTTGGATTCCAGGCAAGCACTACTTGTTGGATTCCAGGCAAGCACTACTTGTTGGATTCCAGGCAAGCACTACTTGTTGGATTCCAGGCAAGCACTACTTGTTGGATTCCAGGCAAGCACTACTTGTTGGATTCCAGGCAAGCACTACTTGTTGGATTCCAGGCAAGCACTACTTGTTGGATTCCAGGCAAGCACTACTTGTTGGATTCCAGGCAAGCACTACTTGTTGGATTCCAGGCAAGCACTACTTGTTGGATTCCAGGCAAGCACTACTTGTTGGATTCCAGGCAAGCACTACTTGTTGGATTCCAGGCAAGCACTACTTGTTGGATTCCAGGCAAGCACTACTTGTTGGATTCCAGGCAAGCACTACTTGTTGGATTCCAGGCAAGCACTACTTGTTGGATTCCAGGCAAGCACTACTTGTTGGATTCCAGGCAAGCACTACTTGTTGGATTCCAGGCAAGCACTACTTGTTGGATTCCAGGCAAGCACTACTTGTTGGATTCCAGGCAAGCACTACTTGTTGGATTCCAGGCAAGCACTACTTGTTGGATTCCAGGCAAGCACTACTTGTTGGATTCCAGGCAAGCACTACTTGTTGGATTCCAGGCAAGCACTACTTGTTGGATTCCAGGCAAGCACTACTTGTTGGATTCCAGGCAAGCACTACTTGTTGGATTCCAGGCAAGCACTACTTGTTGGATTCCAGGCAAGCACTACTTGTTGGATTCCAGGCAAGCACTACTTGTTGGATTCCAGGCAAGCACTACTTGTTGGATTCCAGGCAAGCACTACTTGTTGGATTCCAGGCAAGCACTACTTGTTGGATTCCAGGCAAGCACTACTTGTTGGATTCCAGGCAAGCACTACTTGTTGGATTCCAGGCAAGCACTACTTGTTGGATTCCAGGCAAGCACTACTTGTTGGATTCCAGGCAAGCACTACTTGTTGGATTCCAGGCAAGCACTACTTGTTGGATTCCAGGCAAGCACTACTTGTTGGATTCCAGGCAAGCACTACTTGTTGGATTCCAGGCAAGCACTACTTGTTGGATTCCAGGCAAGCACTACTTGTTGGATTCCAGGCAAGCACTACTTGTTGGATTCCAGGCAAGCACTACTTGTTGGATTCCAGGCAAGCACTACTTGTTGGATTCCAGGCAAGCACTACTTGTTGGATTCCAGGCAAGCACTACTTGTTGGATTCCAGGCAAGCACTACTTGTTGGATTCCAGGCAAGCACTACTTGTTGGATTCCAGGCAAGCACTACTTGTTGGGTTTCAGGCAAGCACTACTTGTTGGGTTCCAGGCAAGCACTACTTGTTGGATTCCAGGCAAGCACTACTTGTTGGATTCCAGGCAAGCACTACTTGTTGGATTCCAGGCAAGCACTACTTGTTGGATTCCAGGCAAGCACTACTTGTTGGATTCCAGGCAAGCACTACTTGTTGGATTCCAGGCAAGCACTACTTGTTGGATTCCAGGCAAGCACTACTTGTTGGATTCCAGGCAAGCACTACTTGTTGGATTCCAGGCAAGCACTACTTGTTGGATTCCAGGCAAGCACTACTTGTTGGATTCCAGGCAAGCACTACTTGTTGGATTCCAGGCAAGCACTACTTGTTGGATTCCAGGCAAGCACTACTTGTTGGATTCCAGGCAAGCACTACTTGTTGGATTCCAGGCAAGCACTACTTGTTGGATTCCAGGCAAGCACTACTTGTTGGATTCCAGGCAAGCACTACTTGTTGGATTCCAGGCAAGCACTACTTGTTGGATTCCAGGCAAGCACTACTTGTTGGATTCCAGGCAAGCACTACTTGTTGGATTCCAGGCAAGCACTACTTGTTGGATTCCAGGCAAGCACTACTTGTTGGATTCCAGGCAAGCACTACTTGTTGGATTCCAGGCAAGCACTACTTGTTGGATTCCAGGCAAGCACTACTTGTTGGATTCCAGGCAAGCACTACTTGTTGGATTCCAGGCAAGCACTACTTGTTGGATTCCAGGCAAGCACTACTTGTTGGATTCCAGGCAAGCACTACTTGTTGGATTCCAGGCAAGCACTACTTGTTGGATTCCAGGCAAGCACTACTTGTTGGATTCCAGGCAAGCACTACTTGTTGGATTCCAGGCAAGCACTACTTGTTGGATTCCAGGCAAGCACTACTTGTTGGATTCCAGGCAAGCACTACTTGTTGGATTCCAGGCAAGCACTACTTGTTGGATTCCAGGCAAGCACTACTTGTTGGATTCCAGGCAAGCACTACTTGTTGGATTCCAGGCAAGCACTACTTGTTGGATTCCAGGCAAGCACTACTTGTTGGATTCCAGGCAAGCACTACTTGTTGGATTCCAGGCAAGCACTACTTGTTGGATTCCAGGCAAGCACTACTTGTTGGATTCCAGGCAAGCACTACTTGTTGGATTCCAGGCAAGCACTACTTGTTGGATTCCAGGCAAGCACTACTTGTTGGATTCCAGGCAAGCACTACTTGTTGGATTCCAGGCAAGCACTACTTGTTGGATTCCAGGCAAGCACTACTTGTTGGATTCCAGGCAAGCACTACTTGTTGGATTCCAGGCAAGCACTACTTGTTGGATTCCAGGCAAGCACTACTTGTTGGATTCCAGGCAAGCACTACTTGTTGGATTCCAGGCAAGCACTACTTGTTGGATTCCAGGCAAGCACTACTTGTTGGATTCCAGGCAAGCACTACTTGTTGGATTCCAGGCAAGCACTACTTGTTGGATTCCAGGCAAGCACTACTTGTTGGATTCCAGGCAAGCACTACTTGTTGGATTCCAGGCAAGCACTACTTGTTGGATTCCAGGCAAGCACTACTTGTTGGATTCCAGGCAAGCACTACTCGACTCGACTATATTCACATGTGCACGAGGCTGGGATGATTCACATGTGCACGAGGCTGGGATGATTCACATCTGCACGAGGCTGGGATGATTCACATGTGCACGAGGCTGGGATGTTGCAATAAAAGTGTGGAGTGGAGGAAGGGTGTTGTGGGGCAGGAACAAGATTGCCAACAAGAGCACATGGGTGCTTCTTACCAACCCTCTGTGTTTCTCACCACCACTCCCGTGTGTCTCACCACCACTCCCGTGTGTCTCACCACCACTCCCGTGTGTCTCACCACCACTCCCTTGTGTCTCACCACCACTCCCGTGTGTCTCACCACCACTCCCGTGTGTCTCACCACCACTCCCGTGTGTCTCACCACCACTCCCGTGTGTCTCACCACCACTCCCGTGTGTCTCACCACCACTCCCGTGTGTCTCACCACCACTCCCGTGTGTCTCACCACCACTCCCGTGTCTGTCTTGCAACCTGTGCGTGTGTGTGGTGCACTGCTGCGCTGCTGCCTGCCCGCCCCTGGGATGCGAGCACGGAGAGCAGAGGCGCACGGAGCAGGCGGTGGGCAAGCTCGTCACGGCAGTGGGCCGCCTCGCCGCCAGAGATGTGAGTATGGCGCCAGGGAGGTCACACAAGTGCCGCTCTTTCCGTCACTGCATCCCCCACTGCTCCCATCACTCCTCTCTCCTTCCCCGCTGCTCCCATCACTCCTCTCTCCTTCCCCGCTGCTCCCATCACTCCTCTCTCCTTCCCCGCTGCTCCCATCACTCCTCTCTCCTTCCCCGCTGCTCCCATCACTCCTCTCTCCTTCCCCGCTGCTCCCATCACTCCTCTCTCCTTCCCCGCTGCTCCCATCACTCCTCTCTCCTTCCCCGCTGCTCCCATCACTCCTCTCTCCTTCCCCGCTGCTCCCATCACTCCTCTCTCCTTCTCCGCTGCTCCCATCACTCCTCTCTCCTTCCCCGCTGCTCCCATCACTCCTCTCTCCTTCCCCGCTGCTCCCATCACTCCTCTCTCCTTCCCCGCTGCTCCCATCACTCCTCTCTCCTTCCCCGCTGCTCCCATCACTCCTCTCTCCTTCCCCGCTGCTCCCATCACTCCTCTCTCCTTCCCCGCTGCTCCCATCACTCCTCTCTCCTTCCCCGCTGCTCCCATCACTCCTCTCTCCTTCCCCGCTGCTCCCATCACTCCTCTCTCCTTCCCCGCATGCCTCTCCCTGTACATGTAGTGTAGCCCCGCCCCATGTTGTCCCATGCCCCATGTTGTCCCATGCTCCTTAGCCCCATGTTGTCCCATGCTCCTTAGCCCCATGTTGTCCCATGCTCCTTAGCCCCATGTTGTCCCATGCTCCTTAGCCCCATGTTGTCCCATGCTCCTTAGCCCCATGTTGTCCCATGCTCCTTAGCCCCATGTTGTCCCATGCTCCTTAGCCCCATGTTGTCCCATGCTCCTTAGCCCCATGTTGTCCCATGCTCCTTAGCCCCATGTTGTCCCATGCTCCTTAGCCCCATGTTGTCCCATGCTCCTTAGCCCCATGTTGTCCCATGCTCCTTAGCCCCTCTCCGCTTCCACACACCCATGCCGCCAATCTGCTCCAGCGCCATTGCCCCATACCCCCATTGCCCCATACCCCCATTGCCCCATGCCCCCATTGCCCCATGCCCCCATTGCCCCATGCCCCCACATCCCTGTAACCTCATTCGCCCCACTCCATGGCCTTGCACTGCCCCCCTCACCCTGTTACGTGTGCCTCATATCCCTCGCATATCCCTCGCATATCCCTCGCATATCCCTCGCATATCCCTCGCATATCCCTCGCATATCCCTCGCATATCCCTCGCATATCCCTCGCGCATACCATTCGCCCCACCCCCAACCCAACCCACCTCGTGCCATTCCTATCACACGCGCCATGCCCCTGCCTGCCGTGCCATAACATGTCGTGCCATGCCATTGCGTGCGGGGCGCTGGGCCGTGGTGGCATGGCAGGACGAGGAGGGGGGGTTGGGCACGGACACGTTGAGGGAGGTGGTGTCGGCCGTCAAGAAGCACATGCAGCTCTCGCGCTCGCTGCAGGTGCGCCGCTGCCAGTGCCCCTCCTGGCTGCCTTCCCTGCCACGTTGCTGTAGGTCCAAGTTAAAGCACACATCTTTTATCTGCCTTTGTCTCTCTGCTCCTTGCGACTATCCCCCCATTGCTCCCATCCCATCACGCCTCTCCCTGTGCATGGCGCGTGGGGCGCCTGTCTCCCATCCCAAGTGCGACTGTCCCCCCGTTGCTCCCATCCCATCACGCCTCTCTCCTTCCCCGCATGCCTCTCCCTGTGCATGGCGTGTGGGGCGCACTGCTGGGTGGGGAGGGGCAGAGTGCGGTGGAGGGGCTGGCGGAGCGCGTGGACGCACAGGCACAGCTCAAAGGGGGCGAGGCCACCCCGCAGGTGAGAAGCCACCCCGCAGGTGAGAAGCCACCCCGCAGGTGAGAAGCTGTGAAGCCAGCCCGCAAGAGCGAGTGTTAACCAATTCTTGTCGCTTACTAACCTCCTGCTATCTGCATGTACATCCCGCGTTATCCTCTCCACCCTCCACCCTGCTCTCACACCTCTCTCTGCCCTGCCTTGCTGCCTGCACTCCCCTCTGTCCCCCTGCGCCCCCCTGTCCCTCCCCTGTCCCCTGTGTCCCCTGTGTCCCCTGTACCGGCCGTGTGTGCGTGGGGTGGGGTGGGGTGGGGTGGGGTGGGGTGGGGTGGGGTGGGGGAATGTGTGGCGGTGGGCGGGCAGGAGGAGAAGATACTGGCGGTGCTCAAGGCGCTCGTGGCGCATCTGAGGGCCAAGGAGAAGGCTGGGCTCTCCGACGCCCTGCTGCAGGGGCAGGTGGGGGGGGGGAGGGTTGTTGGTGGGGGGGGGGAGGGTTGTTGGTGGGGGGGGGGAAAGAGGAGGTTGGGGTGGAGGGGGGGTGGGGTAGTGGCAGGCGAGGGAGAGGGGCAAGTCAGAGAGAGGAGTGGGCGAGCAAGATACCATCTATTTGAAGCTTCCTCACGTGTGTTAGTGCTGAGTGTTGGGTGGGGATAGATTAGGGAGTGGGATTTGATGTGGTTAATAGGAGTAAGCTGGTGTGTGAATCATCAGTGCTGCCAAGCTCACGACACTTGTCCGCCATTGCCTCATCCTCCCTCTGCCTCATCCTCCCTCTGCCTCATCCTCCCACTGCCTCATCCTCCCTCTTCCTTGCTTTGCCCGTTACCTCTCGCATCCCCATTTCGTCTCCACCCCCCCCCCCACCGTGCCCCACTGCCTGCCGTGCGCGCGTGTGTGGGGAATGGTCGGCAGAGGCGCATGGAGGGGGTGGTGGGGGCGCTGGTGGACGAGGTGCGCAACAAGACGGCCTTCCTCAGCCTGCTGCGAGCCGTGCGCGCGCAGACCGCCATCGTCGCCAAGCTCGGCACGCGCATCGCCAGCCTCGAGACGCGCGTGCTGCCGCCCTCCACGCTGCCCGCCGCCGCCCTCGCCACCGGCGACGCCACCGCCCTTGCCGCCTCCGCCGCTGGCGCCGGTGGTGCGGGTGGAGTTGGGGGGGCGGAGGCGTCGGTGGTGGTGGCGGCTGTGACGGAGACGCAGACGGGCATGGCGGTGGTGGTGCGCGAGGTGCAGCGGCAGAGCGAGGCGGTGGCGGAGCTGCAGGCCATGCTGGAGGCGAGCAGGGGCGCGGACATGCTGCAGCTGGCGCACAAGACGCACGAGGCGCTGCACGACCTGGTGCTGGCCGTGCGGCAGCAGGGCAAGCTGCTCGTCTCCCTCGACGCCCGCCTCGCTCACATCCAAGGCCACGTGGGGGGCGGTGGCGGGGGGGGCCAGGCGGATGGTGACGTGGTGCGGCTGGAGAGGGCGGTGGCGGCGGAGGCGGAGGCGGAGGGCGGGGGGGACGTGCTGAAGGCGGCTGAGGAGGTGATCGGCCGCATGGAGGGCCGTCAGACGCAGGGCGGTCAGACGCAGGGCGGGGAGCAACCGCAGGAGGGGCAGGGCGAACAAGGGGGGGAAGGGGGGCAGCAGGAGGGACAGGGGGAGCAAGAGGAGCAGCAAGAGCAGGGGCAGCATGAAGGGGGGCAAGCGAGGAATGAAGATCTGGCAGGTGAGGCGCTGTTGGTGACATGCAGGTGAGGCGCTGTTGCTGGCAGGTGAGGCGCTGTTGCTGGCAGGTGAGGCGCTGTTGCTGGCAGGTGAGGCGCTGTTGCTGGCAGGTGAGGCGCTGTTGCTGGCAGGTGAGGCGCTGTTGCTGGCAGGTGAGGCGCTGTTGGTGACGGTGGTGGCCACACACACGATTCGGGGGGTGTGCCCAAGTGAAGTTGTGCGTGTCGTGCTCAACAAGCACACATCAATCTGCTCCCATGCATCGGAGTCACTCATGCACTCTTGCCACAAGCTATGACCAACTTTGGGCGAGGCTATGGTGGTGGTGTGGAAGGAGTGTAATGCTTCGGAAGGATCTTTGGCGCCGATTGTTTCGCAGAATAAGCTTCTGGTGGGAGACCCCCACGCGTGTCAGTTGATGAGCGTGTCAGTTGATGAGCGTGTCAGTTGATGAGCGTGTCAGTTGATGAGCGTGTCAGTTGATGAGCGTGTCAGTTGATGAGCGTGTCAGTTGATGAGCGTGTCAGTTGATGAGCGTGTCAGTTGATGAGCGTGTCAGTTGATGAGCGTGTCAGTTGATGAGCGTGTCAGTTGATGAGCGTGTCAGTTGATGAGCGTGTCAGTTGATGAGCGTGTCAGTTGATGAGCGTGTCAGTTGATGAGCGTGTCAGTTGATGAGCGTGTCAGTTGATGAGCGTGTCAGTTGATGAGCGTGTCAGTTGATGAGCGTGTCAGTTGATGAGCGTGTCAGTTGATGAGCGTGTCAGTTGATGAGCGTGTCAGTTGATGAGCGTGTCAGTTGATGAGCGTGTCAGTTGATGAGCGTGTCAGTTGATGAGCGTGTCAGTTGATGAGCGTGTCAGTTGATGAGCGTGTCAGTTGATGAGCGTGTCAGTTGATGAGCGTGTCAGTTGATGAGCGTGTCAGTTGATGAGCGTGTCAGTTGATGAGCGTGTCAGTTGATGAGCGTGTCAGTTGATGAGCGTGTCAGTTGATGAGCGTGTCAGTTGATGAGCGTGTCAGTTGATGAGCGTGTCAGTTGATGAGCGTGTCAGTTGATGAGCGTGTCAGTTGATGAGCGTGTCAGTTGATGAGCGTGTCAGTTGATGAGCGTGTCAGTTGATGAGCGTGTCAGTTGATGAGCGTGTCAGTTGATGAGCGTGTCAGTTGATGAGCGTGTCAGTTGATGAGCGTGTCAGTTGATGAGCGTGTCAGTTGATGAGCGTGTCAGTTGATGAGCGTGTCAGTTGATGAGCGTGTCAGTTGATGAGCGTGTCAGTTGATGAGCGTGTCAGTTGATGAGCGTGTCAGTTGATGAGCGTGTCAGTTGATGAGCGTGTCAGTTGATGAGCGTGTCAGTTGATGAGCGTGTCAGTTGATGAGCGTGTCAGTTGATGAGCGTGTCAGTTGATGAGCGTGTCAGTTGATGAGCGTGTCAGTTGATGAGCGTGTCAGTTGATGAGCGTGTCAGTTGATGAGCGTGTCAGTTGATGAGCGTGTCAGTTGATGAGCGTGTCAGTTGATGAGCGTGTCAGTTGATGAGCGTGTCAGTTGATGAGCGTGTCAGTTGATGAGCGTGTCAGTTGATGAGCGTGTCAGTTGATGAGCGTGTCAGTTGATGAGCGTGTCAGTTGATGAGCGTGTCAGTTGATGAGCGTGTCAGTTGATGAGCGTGTCAGTTGATGAGCGTGTCAGTTGATGAGCGTGTCAGTTGATGAGCGTGTCAGTTGATGAGCGTGTCAGTTGATGAGCGTGTCAGTTGATGAGCGTGTCAGTTGATGAGCGTGTCAGTTGATGAGCGTGTCAGTTGATGAGCGTGTCAGTTGATGAGCGTGTCAGTTGATGAGCGTGTCAGTTGATGAGCGTGTCAGTTGATGAGCGTGTCAGTTGATGAGCGTGTCAGTTGATGAGCGTGTCAGTTGATGAGCGTGTCAGTTGATGAGCGTGTCAGTTGATGAGCGTGTCAGTTGATGAGCGTGTCAGTTGATGAGCGTGTCAGTTGATGAGCGTGTCAGTTGATGAGCGTGTCAGTTGATGAGCGTGTCAGTTGATGAGCGTGTCAGTTGATGAGCGTGTCAGTTGATGAGCGTGTCAGTTGATGAGCGTGTCAGTTGATGAGCGTGTCAGTTGATGAGCGTGTCAGTTGATGAGCGTGTCAGTTGATGAGCGTGTCAGTTGATGAGCGTGTCAGTTGATGAGCGTGTCAGTTGATGAGCGTGTCAGTTGATGAGCGTGTCAGTTGATGAGCGTGTCAGTTGATGAGCGTGTCAGTTGATGAGCGTGTCAGTTGATGAGCGTGTCAGTTGATGAGCGTGTCAGTTGATGAGCGTGTCAGTTGATGAGCGTGTCAGTTGATGAGCGTGTCAGTTGATGAGCGTGTCAGTTGATGAGCGTGTCAGTTGATGAGCGTGTCAGTTGATGAGCGTGTCAGTTGATGAGCGTGTCAGTTGATGAGCGTGTCAGTTGATGAGCGTGTCAGTTGATGAGCGTGTCAGTTGATGAGCGTGTCAGTTGATGAGCGTGTCAGTTGATGAGCGTGTCAGTTGATGAGCGTGTCAGTTGATGAGCGTGTCAGTTGATGAGCGTGTCAGTTGATGAGCGTGTCAGTTGATGAGCGTGTCAGTTGATGAGCGTGTCAGTTGATGAGCGTGTCAGTTGATGAGCGTGTCAGTTGATGAGCGTGTCAGTTGATGAGCGTGTCAGTTGATGAGCGTGTCAGTTGATGAGCGTGTCAGTTGATGAGCGTGTCAGTTGATGAGCGTGTCAGTTGATGAGCGTGTCAGTTGATGAGCGTGTCAGTTGATGAGCGTGTCAGTTGATGAGCGTGTCAGTTGATGAGCGTGTCAGTTGATGAGCGTGTCAGTTGATGAGCGTGTCAGTTGATGAGCGTGTCAGTTGATGAGCGTGTCAGTTGATGAGCGTGTCAGTTGATGAGCGTGTCAGTTGATGAGCGTGTCAGTTGATGAGCGTGTCAGTTGATGAGCGTGTCAGTTGATGAGCGTGTCAGTTGATGAGCGTGTCAGTTGATGAGCGTGTCAGTTGATGAGCGTGTCAGTTGATGAGCGTGTCAGTTGATGAGCGTGTCAGTTGATGAGCGTGTCAGTTGATGAGCGTGTCAGTTGATGAGCGTGTCAGTTGATGAGCGTGTCAGTTGATGAGCGTGTCAGTTGATGAGCGTGTCAGTTGATGAGCGTGTCAGTTGATGAGCGTGTCAGTTGATGAGCGTGTCAGTTGATGAGCGTGTCAGTTGATGAGCGTGTCAGTTGATGAGCGTGTCAGTTGATGAGCGTGTCAGTTGATGAGCGTGTCAGTTGATGAGCGTGTCAGTTGATGAGCGTGTCAGTTGATGAGCGTGTCAGTTGATGAGCGTGTCAGTTGATGAGCGTGTCAGTTGATGAGCGTGTCAGTTGATGAGCGTGTCAGTTGATGAGCGTGTCAGTTGATGAGCGTGTCAGTTGATGAGCGTGTCAGTTGATGAGCGTGTCAGTTGATGAGCGTGTCAGTTGATGAGCGTGTCAGTTGATGAGCGTGTCAGTTGATGAGCGTGTCAGTTGATGAGCGTGTCAGTTGATGAGCGTGTCAGTTGATGAGCGTGTCAGTTGATGAGCGTGTCAGTTGATGAGCGTGTCAGTTGATGAGCGTGTCAGTTGATGAGCGTGTCAGTTGATGAGCGTGTCAGTTGATGAGCGTGTCAGTTGATGAGCGTGTCAGTTGATGAGCGTGTCAGTTGATGAGCGTGTCAGTTGATGAGCGTGTCAGTTGATGAGCGTGTCAGTTGATGAGCGTGTCAGTTGATGAGCGTGTCAGTTGATGAGCGTGTCAGTTGATGAGCGTGTCAGTTGATGAGCGTGTCAGTTGATGAGCGTGTCAGTTGATGAGCGTGTCAGTTGATGAGCGTGTCAGTTGATGAGCGTGTCAGTTGATGAGCGTGTCAGTTGATGAGCGTGTCAGTTGATGAGCGTGTCAGTTGATGAGCGTGTCAGTTGATGAGCGTGTCAGTTGATGAGCGTGTCAGTTGATGAGCGTGTCAGTTGATGAGCGTGTCAGTTGATGAGCGTGTCAGTTGATGAGCGTGTCAGTTGATGAGCGTGTCAGTTGATGAGCGTGTCAGTTGATGAGCGTGTCAGTTGATGAGCGTGTCAGTTGATGAGCGTGTCAGTTGATGAGCGTGTCAGTTGATGAGCGTGTCAGTTGATGAGCGTGTCAGTTGATGAGCGTGTCAGTTGATGAGCGTGTCAGTTGATGAGCGTGTCAGTTGATGAGCGTGTCAGTTGATGAGCGTGTCAGTTGATGAGCGTGTCAGTTGATGAGCGTGTCAGTTGATGAGCGTGTCAGTTGATGAGCGTGTCAGTTGATGAGCGTGTCAGTTGATGAGCGTGTCAGTTGATGAGCGTGTCAGTTGATGAGCGTGTCAGTTGATGAGCGTGTCAGTTGATGAGCGTGTCAGTTGATGAGCGTGTCAGTTGATGAGCGTGTCAGTTGATGAGCGTGTCAGTTGATGAGCGTGTCAGTTGATGAGCGTGTCAGTTGATGAGCGTGTCAGTTGATGAGCGTGTCAGTTGATGAGCGTGTCAGTTGATGAGCGTGTCAGTTGATGAGCGTGTCAGTTGATGAGCGTGTCAGTTGATGAGCGTGTCAGTTGATGAGCGTGTCAGTTGATGAGCGTGTCAGTTGATGAGCGTGTCAGTTGATGAGCGTGTCAGTTGATGAGCGTGTCAGTTGATGAGCGTGTCAGTTGATGAGCGTGTCAGTTGATGAGCGTGTCAGTTGATGAGCGTGTCAGTTGATGAGCGTGTCAGTTGATGAGCGTGTCAGTTGATGAGCGTGTCAGTTGATGAGCGTGTCAGTTGATGAGCGTGTCAGTTGATGAGCGTGTCAGTTGATGAGCGTGTCAGTTGATGAGCGTGTCAGTTGATGAGCGTGTCAGTTGATGAGCGTGTCAGTTGATGAGCGTGTCAGTTGATGAGCGTGTCAGTTGATGAGCGTGTCAGTTGATGAGCGTGTCAGTTGATGAGCGTGTCAGTTGATGAGCGTGTCAGTTGATGAGCGTGTCAGTTGATGAGCGTGTCAGTTGATGAGCGTGTCAGTTGATGAGCGTGTCAGTTGATGAGCGTGTCAGTTGATGAGCGTGTCAGTTGATGAGCGTGTCAGTTGATGAGCGTGTCAGTTGATGAGCGTGTCAGTTGATGAGCGTGTCAGTTGATGAGCGTGTCAGTTGATGAGCGTGTCAGTTGATGAGCGTGTCAGTTGATGAGCGTGTCAGTTGATGAGCGTGTCAGTTGATGAGCGTGTCAGTTG